TTGAGTATATCTATATCAATACCCTGGTTGTAATATTGTACTTGAGTATCACAAGAGTTACCCCTGGAGGAAACTAAGTAAAGGACACATAGAATCTCACTGAAGGGAATAAGGGAATGTATACATAGGATCTCTCTGCATTTTTTTTACAACTACAGCTATATTTTTATATTATATATTATTATAATCTCAAATTATGAAATTCAATTTTACAATGATGTGGGTGAAGGGTTTGTAATAAAATGGGGGAAACCATATAATATCATTAAGTGAGCAGAGCAGAATAGAAACCTGTAATTAGAGATTAGAAGAAAAACAGGAAGGGGGAATCAAAGATAAAAAGCTAAAAATCAAGGACAAAAAATATAATAAGGTCAAAAGTATACGTATATCCAAAACCAGGTTCTAGAAAGCAACCAAAAATAGACACAGTGCTTACTAACTTAACTAAAATATAAAATAGGAGAACACAAAAGCAGGTAAGATTAAGCCCAGGAAAGATGGCATGAGTATAGATGAGGACATATTTTTATAATTTACAAAATAAGAGGACACTACATTGCAACTAAATTCGGGGCAATAAATTTGACAACTCAGAAGAAATGGGTAATTTTCTAGCAAAATACAAGTGACTAAAATTGATCCCAAAAGAACTGAATAGATTAATTACCACAGAGGACACTGGAAAGATGCTTGAGGGTCTACCGCCTGCAAAAGGCATCTAGATCAGATGCACTTCACAGTTGAGTTTTATTTGATCTTTAAAAAACATACAATTTCCAAGGGTCACTAAAGGATTCCTTCCAGTGCTGAGAAAAGGAAGAACATTCAGCAGTTCATTGTATATACCCAAGTTGAAACTTTGACCATGTTAAAAAGAATACCAAAAAAATTTACTCTGATTTCATTTATGAATCCTGAGGCAAGGTTCTTAATAAAAAGATTGGTAAATACAATCTGGCAATGTATCAAAAGAATAACATACAAAGATTAGCAGTGTTACTTGCAATAATGTGAGAGTAGTTCAAAACCACAAAATCATGGACATAATTCACTATATCAAAAACTTAAATTAAAAAAAATGGATCAACAGACACTGACAAAATATTTGATAAAATATAGCAACCATTTCCTTTAAAATATCTCTTTAACGAACACTAACAGCAAGTATGGAGGAATACAAATAAAAATATTTCCATTTAAAATCCATTTTGGACAGAGTGGCCCACCAGCACCATTTTTATTTAAGTCTGTCTTTGAGTTCTAGCAAAACTACATTATATATCACAGCAAAAGTACAGAATACAGAAAGGCACCTAAAGAAAATGAATAACTGGTATTACCATTGAAAAGAAGAGCTACAACTAAAATAAAATGAACAGGAAAACCTCAAAAGATAGCTGGATATGAGAACTATTTTTTAAAATCAATAACCGGGCCTCCCCCATGGCGCAGCTGGTTGAGCACCATGCTGTGAAGCTGTCCACAGCCTCTGCAGCATGGGTTCGATTCCCGGCTGGCCAGGGAGATACCCACATGGCTCGGCAGACCTTGCCTGCCTCACCCACTGCTCCCCTCAGCAGTGTCTTTGGTCCGTCTGCCTGTTCTGCTCCCCGCTGTTTCTGGTGAATTCTCTCACCCTCCTGCGCCTCTGGCCTGTACCCCAGTTCTTGTATAAATAAATAAATCTTTAAAAAAAATTAAATCAATAACCTTTTTCTATTTTAGCAAGAAGCACATCGGAAAGGAGGAAAATACTCTGAAAATTCTATTAATTCTTTAGGAAGAAACATATCAAGAAAGGCATAGGGTATATATGAACAAAAGGACAAATCTCACTGAAAAATGAAATCAAGATTTGAGTAGATAGAAATATTCTCATATTAAAACCTATATAACTTATAATAATTCAAGTCTCAAAAATATAAAGTTAATGTAATTCAAATTACATTGATGGGGTGTTAGGGGGATGGGTTGGATGAAAGTGATCTTAAAATGTGCATGTAAAAAAAAGTCCGAGAATAACCAAGAAAACCATTTTTTAGACTAGTGTAATCAATCAATATGATCTGTGTACTGTGGGGAGCAGAATAGGCTGCCCCCAAAATACACCACTTTGGTACATGGACTGTTTTGAGCTAAGAGCAATTAAGGCCAACAATCTGAACAAAAAGCAATTAGGACCAGCAATCTCAGGAAGGCTTTTCTTTACCTCACCCTTAACTACCTGAGTAATTTAGATAGAAGAGTGATCACCAGATTTAACTACAAAGAATAGAAGTTAAATGTGCTAGGATGGGGGGAACATAGTAAGGCCTGTTTGTTCAACGCGCTCTCTCTGTCCCTTCATCTATACATATAGCATGGCAAAATTTGTTTACAAAACATTTCCTCTTCCTCCTTTCTGTAAATTGTATTTGCCCCCTTGAACTTCCAGACCCCTGCCCCCTTTCACCTTAGTTCAGGATGTCAAATAAACCCCAACTGTCTGATATCACATAGCCCCAAGTCTTTGTGGGGTTCCTGTACATGTGAAATTTCACTTGTTTTTCTTCTCTAATCTTTCTGATGTCATTTTAATTATTAGACCAACCAAAGAACCTAGAAAGGTAGAAGGAAATTTTTGCCCCCCTGACAGAATACAAATAGACATGTAGGTGAAACAGAATAGACAACCTATAATGGATTCTAGCACATAAAAAGTTTAACAGATGACAATGATGGTAGCTCAGCTGACAGGGAAAAGTAGGAATTATTTAATATATTATACTAGTACAAGTTATTATCCATATTTAAGAAAATAATCTCAACAGACTAGAAATCCAGAAATTATTAAAAAAGAGTCATATTTGGATATGAAAAATATAAACAATTATGTACAAAAATACAGCATTAACAAAGTCAATACATACAGATGTGGGAAACATAATCATCACAAAAGACTAATATCCTAACTACTCAAAGGAATCTTACAAATTAAGAAAAATATTAACAATTCATAGAATAATAGGGAGATAAAAGGAATAGACAATTCAAAGAGAAAAACTGAGATAATATGAAATTCATTAGTAATCAAGGAAATACATCCATTAAGTTGGAGAAATTATACAAGAACCATAACACCTTCTGTTGTTAGGAATAAAGAAAATAATCTCTATTATCTACAGAAGGGAAAAGTAAATTTTAGCAGTCTGTTTTTATAAAGTAATGTGGAAATCTCTGTTAACCCAAGTATATATGTATATTTATCTATAAGCAGTTATATATATAATGTGCATAGATGTATGTGTGTGTATAAACATATAGATAAATATGTATGTGCATATGTCTTTATATGCTGGTCCTTTATATATGCATATATGCACAAGAATGCTTATTTCATTTTACATTAATTGTAGTGGCAGATATCTAGAAAGAATGAATGTAAATGTTCATCAATAGGGAAATACCTAAATAAATTGTTGTGGATTCATGAAATATTTTGCAGCATTGAAAAGAATAAGCACTTTAACAACAGATCTCATGAACAGATTCCACGAGATATTTTTGAGTGACAAAAGCGAGATGTGTGAAAGTGTATGCAAGATTCTGTTTTTGTAAACCTGCATGTGAGTAAGTGTGCACCAATGAGCATGGAGAAAAACACAGACCACCTACTGGTTTGTTAATATATGCAAGGGTGGTAAGGGAAAGCAGAGGTAGGAGTCAAACAGAACAAGGAAAAGAAAATATAGAACCAGTATAAAAAATAAGCCCAGCAATCATATTTATGTTTTTTATGTGTATAATGTATACATGAATTGAGTTAAATTTAGAAAAGATAGACTAAAAAAACCTAAATATGATCTCTGCTTATTAAAAACAGAAAGGCAATAACCAAAATTATCTAATAGTGGTAGAATTAAGGGTAATGTTTATTTTCTTCTCTATGTGTTCCTGCATTTTCTATAATGAAAATTGTTACTTTCATCGTAACGAAATAAAACCAATAAATGTTACTTTAAAAACATTACACTGAAAAATTGAGCTCATTTTGGAACTCAAGGGATGGAACCAGGGTTAAATGCCCCTTCTGCTTAGGAGCTGTCTAAGTTTGAGATCTATGAAATCAGGATCCATTATCCCTCATCCAGCAGAAAGTTACTCACCTAAGGCAAGAGACTAAGTGGCTATTCCAAGAAGCTATTTGAAGCAGCAATAGGGAAATACCTAAATAAATTGTTGTGGATTCATGAAATATTTTGCTATTTCCCCCTACCTAACACTTTAATGACTTAAGTAAATCAGAAAGCCATTTGTTCCACTCTCAATTATCCAAGGATCTGCTGGGCTCTTTACTTCCTGTCCCCTCCCTCTGGCTTGTGGCCATTACATTGCTTGGGAACAGCTCCAAAATGGGGGCCAGGGAAGGGAGAAAGATTAAATTAATTTGGTCGATTTAGCTTCTCATTAACAACTGTAATAAAAGGCTTGATACGTGAGATGGTCACAACTCATGGTTAAAATGAGGGTTCCAGGACTCGAGAATTTCACTTAAGCCAACTTGCCTTCAGATAAACACTATTTGCCCGCAATACAGTTTAATGGATTTGGTGTTTGCTATTTTTGAGAAAGTCAGAAATTGTAATAGGTGATATGTTTCTTTCCTCACTTTAATTTGCACTTTCAGAAAAATAAAAAAAATAAAAAATAATAAAACAAGAACAAAGCACTTTAAAGTGAAGAACCATGATTTCAGTAAAGCAGTAAGAGCACAACAGAAAGATTCTTGCAACAGGAGAAGCTGTCCAAGAGAACATACCTGGGCCAAAAGCCACATCACCAGGAGTCACTGACAGGATTTGTGAGGACTCACCAAAAGTCAAATTTCTACACACATCACCCTGTTTCACTCAGAACTCATAGACTGTTGTCCCTGGGAAGCCAAGACACAAAACTGTGCAAGTCCAAGGTGTGCAGAGCAATGTGCCCATCATCCTTTGCTATCAGACAAAACTTACTTGAAGATGATGGTAGCTCCACGGCACGGTGGGCAGGCCAGGAGAAAGATCTGCAATTGAAAAAGAATTGAGTAAGATTATCAAGAGAAAAGCTAGATATAGCAAGTCAATAATACTTAAATAATAATAACAACTAATAAAAAAAAATCAAACTCTAACACAAAAAATGTAATGAAAAAATTTAAAAGGCAAGCAGGTGGTTTTCCAAAGTACATGTTTGTGTTTACCCATCCATCTATATGTATGGCGAACATGTGTTATATCTGGATGGCAGGGGGAGGGAAAGATATGATAGGAGGGCTAAGAGATGGAGAAAGCTTTTCTCAGGCCCTTTCAGCTTCTAGAACACTTCCCCTTAAACTCAAGTACAAGAATCAGTTGTTCAACTTTTCCACTTCAATATAACACAAGTAGCCAGTCTAAGGGTTTAACACAGGGCAAGTGAAAATAGATTCTGAGCACAGGACAAGTAGACAAATGCCATCTGGTTTGTCTCCCATGGGGGAAGATGGGTTAATCAATACCCAACATTGCCTGATGCAGTAAATGACAATACAGGATGCCCAGTTAATATGAATTGCAGATAAACAACGACTAATGTTTCAGTGGAAGTATAGCCTAATATTGCAGGGAAGATAATTGTATTATATATCACATTACACATTGTTTATCTGCAATTCAAATTTAACTGGGCATCCTAAATGTATCTGGCAACACTATCAATTTTGTCACTCCCAGGCTCCAAACCTCCCTTTCATTTGATCAGTCTGTTTCACTACTGGGTGATTTTTACTCTTCAATTACCCTCCTGGGTGAAATTAATAAAAAAGACCTTGTCCTTCTAGGAGACAAATCAGTTCCATGCTACTTAATTTGACCTAGACCTGCATAAACCAGCAGCTTGTGGTAGTTTTGTCTTCACCTAAGCACTGGTTCTCAAACCAATGGGACAAAGAAACCCCAGCAGAGCTTGTTAAGAATGCAAATTCCCAGGCATTCCCATTAGGAATTTTGATTCCAGAAGTCTGAGACTCCAGGAATCTTTATGTTTAACAAGCACCACAAGAGATTCAGCCACTCCTGGGAGCCAAACACACAGAATGTTTTTGACCTTGACCTGAACTACTCCAGGGATCAAAGACATTCAGCAGAATTAAGAATGGAAAAAAGAATGAAACTCATATTTGCAGAGTTCCTTCACCTCCAGTGATTTAATAATATGATTTAAGAAATAACGGAGTATGTTCCTATCTTATGGAAAACATTTATAAATAGTTAATCTGCATTATGGACTTGTTAGCTTTGCCATGTGTATATCCTTTGGCGCTTGGTTCTTCAGTTCTACCAGAGTCTTCTATATATTTGGAAGGAAAGGGTACTATGGATGAAAATCACTAAGGAAAGACACCTGCTTGAATTCCTGCCAAGAGGAAGAAAAGAAGAATGGAAGACAGGGCTTTGAAAAGAACAAGGCCAGGAGTCCATTCCCTGCACAATACCTCATCGAAGAACCCCTCCGAGGAAATATCCATCAAGAATGTGCCTTCCCCCCTGTGGATCAATTTGATTAAAAGCAAAACCACTGACAATTACAGGTCCACAATCCTTTATTGGCAATTGCCACATCTAAAAGCTCTAAAAACTGAAAGTCTGTTTTTTTCAAAGCTCATTTGGTAGCAAAACATGACTTGTACTGAACTAAATCCATTTACAGATTTTACCTATTCCACTTATGGTGACTATTCATATGTTTTCCATCAAAATATATATTTTGATTATATGCCCCAGGCCCCACTAGGACTATGTGCAAAATACTCCAGATGCACTGAATTGCAAAAACATTCTGCTTTCTGAAATACACTGGTTTGGGATAAGGATTGTAGACTTGGAATTTCAATCATCCAAACATTAACTTACCCCACTCCCACCCTACCCCTCAGAAGCAGTCCAAGAAAGAAACAAAGCTGGTATTCTTTACCACTGGCCAGCAGTAAAGTTACTCACCTTAGGCAAGAGACCAAGTTGAAGGCTGTACATAGCTACCCAGCATCAGGCCCATCAAAGGCTACACTCAGAAGTGACAGTTTATAGAGAGCAGACAGGGGCCCCCACCCACCTCAGAAAGGTCCTCAATACTTCCAGGGTCACCTAAGAGTGATACCAGCAGCCTTGTTGAGCTTCTGGAATACCCAAGTTACTTCCAACATGCTAAACAGAGAAGCAAAAATGAGACACTGGGTCCCCTAGTTAACTCTTTTCTATAGCCACCGCCAAGAGGAGACATGTAGATTCTTGGGGAGCAGATTTCCCTATAACTGCTCTACCTGGTTGGTTCTTATAGGGACAAATGCCAAAAGGCCATAAACCAGGGGAGCAAGCCTCTAATCCCAACCAAACAGGTTGTCATATTATCCTCCACTCAATCATGGATCAAATTTCTTCTGAGACAGCTAATCTACTTAACTCTAAATAAGTTTTCTAACAGTTACTTTCATGTGGCCACGTCATCCCCACCACTACTTTGGCGTTTCTTGTCTTTCCTATCTAGTTCCATCATCAGGACAGAAAGTATCTTTTTCAAATCAATCTGTGAATCAAATATATGTAGACCCCAAATCCACCATATTCTATTTACACTAAATTCATTACCTCCTTCAGCAACTTTATTTTTTTAAAGATTTATTTATTTATTTTATACAAGAACCGGGGTACAGGCCAGATGTGCGGGAGGGTGAGAGGATTCACCAGAGACAGAGTGGGGAACAGAACAGGCAGACTGATGAAATACACTGCTGAGGGGAGCAGCGGGCGAGACAGGAGAGGTCTGTGGCGCCATGTGGGACCCTCGCCGGCCAGCTGGGATCAAACCAGCACTGCAAAGGCTGCGGACAGCTTCACAACGCAGCGCTCAAACACCTGCGCCACCAGGGGAGGCCCTCCTTCAGCAACTTTCAATATTAAAAACATTGAACCTCTCTGTTCTATCATGCTGGAGCCAGACCCACAATCACCATTAACCAAAGGAGTCACATTTTAATTCAGGGGCACAAAGGCCCCCAGTCCTAGCCTGAATATCGCTGCTTTCTTCCTTGTTGGCTGCCAATCACCTTCAAATTTTGGTAGCATGTGTTTGAGCAGGCAGAAAGCTAAACCATCTCTTCAGCTGCAAAGAGAATATGAAGTGAAGGCACTTGGAGTGCAAACAAGGACAGCAGGAAGATAAGAATACATCTCAGCATATCCCAGCACCAACTGGGAATTTTGTATTCATGCCAAAATCTAACCAGCTCAGCACCTGGAGAAAAGGGCATGGCAGGCTGCACACACTTCCACTTTCCCACCACCTGGGTGCAAACAGGGTCTTGTTATTAAATCCCATTTTACATATAAAGAAACTGAGGGAAAGGTTCTCACAAGCTTTCTGACAAGAACCATGTCCCCTAAATCCCAGTTCAACATGCATGCTACCTGACATGGACCACGCCTCCTGGGGGATTTTCTTCTTTAGGCTATATCCCTGCCTCTTGACCTCAGAGTACAGGGAGTCACCCCCAAAGGCTCCATACTTGTGCCACCACACAGCTGATAAGATCTCTCTACAAGGTGAGACACCTCAAAACACAAACCTAACCAGGTAGCCAAGTATGTTTACACAGATGGGTACCAGAGTCCAGTGTTCCGTAAAGATGGGTTAGGCTTAGATCCAACTTGCCTCATTCCCACATGTGCTTGGGGGCTTGTACATCTTGAGTCTTTATAAAACTGAGGGCTCTCTGGATTGAATTTTCCATGGAAAAAAAAAAAAAAAAACACTGGTTCAGTTCCAAACCACATTCTCTCAGCTTCCCCAGGATAGCTTCACCGTTGCTGCTCCAAGTTTCCGTCCAGAAACTTGTAAATTCATCTCTTTCCTGAGCACCCACTGTAGACACCAACAGCTGTGCCAGGTCCTTCTTTCTGAACCACTCTGGTTGCAGGGTCCCACCTTCCCTAATCAACCTTCTTAGCCATCACTTGTCCCGGGGCCCCCATCCTCTCTCCCTGGAGCTCCTCACTAGTCTCCCACCTCTAGGCACGCTGCAGTGAAAGGGATCTAGCACAAATACTACTCTAATCTGCCATTTAAAAATTTTCAATGGCTTGCCAGCACCTACCAGAAAACCTCCAGCTCCTTAGCATGACAGGCATTCTTTATTCCAGACCCCACCTCTCTCTCCAGCATGGCAGCCTCATGCATTTGCCATATTGTATCCTGAGCATTCTCTGTATCAATAAATATGTTTCTACAACCTCATTTTGTCATAGCTTCCTTTTATTCAATTGTATGGATAGGCAATAATTTACTGAGCCAATCTCCTCCTGTTGCTATACATGGAAGTAAAGGGCAGGCCTCCCCAAAACGTGTCACTTTGACACGCAGATTATTTCAAGATGACATCAATCGAAGTCCAGCAGGCTCCTGAGAAACTTACCATTCCCCAATTTACCTAGAAGAATGAAACCTGGGGGGTTTTCCCAGAAACAGGTATTACCAGAAATAACCTTTCTACCTAAAAAAAAAAAAAAGCCTATCTACATGGCAGGACAAAATCTAATTACAGAGCACCTCTTCTTTGTCATATGTGAGTTCCTGGAAGCCCCAAGCTCCCATGCTATTCCTTAACTCAGCATATATATCCCATTTTGGCCCACTAACTTTGGAATCTACAGGTCTATGTAGATCCCCTGTAAGAACAAAATTTTCTTTTTCGTCTACTGATCTGTCTGATGTTAATTTGATTATTTGACCAACTAGAGAAGAACCCAGAGGGGCAGGATGGAATTTCCTTTCCTCCCCAACTTAAGTTATGCCTAAATTTTCATATCCTTTACTATTTCCTTAGCCTACATTCATAGAAGGAGAATTTCTAAGGCCTCCAAAGGGAATATATATTTTAAGGTTTTTAACCTATAATTCTAAACTGCTTCCCAGAAATTTTCTTTGAATGCTATCTCCAGCCAGCAATATGTGAGAATGTGCTTTTGCTGTAACTTGTTCAATAGGTTACTA